CTTCCAGGACGAAAGAGAACAACCAGCAATACACAGAACTACCAACAGGCCTGAAATTCTAAAAACTGAAGTAAAAGTTGCACTGGCGAAATTGAATAGAAACAAGGCAGCAGGGCCAGATGGAATTGTAATAGAAATGCTGACAACCTTAGATGATTTTGACATAGACAAGATTACAGAAATAATAAATGAAATCTACAACAGTAGTTACCTACCAGAAGATCTCAGCAGATCTATTTTTATAGCAATGTCTAAGAAACCAGGCACAAATGAATGTGAACTCCACCGAACAATCAGAATCAGCCTAATGAGCCATATAACAAAACTCATCATCTGTATTCTGATGAATAGAGTGCATAGCAGAATCAGGCCAGAGATAGGACAAGAACAGTGCAAGTTTGTTAAAGACACCAGAACAAGGAAGGCGATATTCATGCTCAGATTATCAGAAAGAGCAATACAAATGCAGAAGTATGTGCACCTATATTTTATAGACTATGCAAAGGTGTTCGGCAAAGTACGCCACAAAGATCTGTTGGAACTGCTCGGCAATCTTGATTTATTTGGGAAAGATTTTAGAATAATCAAGAACCTATACTGGCAGATATACAAAAATAGAAAGGGGCGTTAGGCAATGATGTAACTTCTCACTGGACTTGTTCAACCTATACAGAGAGGCAATTCTAAGAGAACTGGAAATCATACCAGGATTCATCAGTGGCAGCCACAATCTTAACAACATAAGATGTGCAGATGACACAGTGCTGATAGCAAACACAGAAAGGAAATTCCAAACCCTCCTACAGAAGGTAGCAAAGGAGAGCAAGAAGAAAGGACTAAGCATAAACTACGAAAAGACAGAGTGCTTGGTTATCAGTAAAAAGAGCAGTCTGAAATGTGATTTACAGGTTGGGGACACCAGAATCAAGCAGGTGCAGAAATTTAAATGTCTGGGAAGTGTTCTGACAGAGGACAGTAAGTGCGATGCTGAGATCCGAAGACATATTGGGGTGGCTAGAGATGCATGCCAAAAGCTAGGCAGAGTATTACAAGACAGGAGGATTTTGTTCGTAACAAAGAAAAGAGTACTCAACTGCTACATAATATTTGTCCTCCTTTATGGCAGCGAATGTTGGACTGTCTCCTCAACGATGAAGAAGAGACTCAAGGCAACAGACTATGGTTCTACAGAAGGAATCGCAGGAAACTATGGACTGAACATGTGAGCAACGATGAGTTTTTTGAGACAAGAAGGAAGCTTATACTTAACATCAGGAAGATGCAGCTGAAATTTCTGGGATACATAATGGGAAAAGAGGGCTTGGAGAAGCTGATGCTGACAGGGCGGATAAAGGGAATGAGAGACAAGGGAAACCAATATGTGACATACCTAGTAGGCTTAAGCAAGTGGATTACTGAACAGGGTTTAGAAGAAATAGCAAAAGGACAAAACATTGAGAGCTACAAGAGATAGGAGGAAGTGGAGAGCCATGATCGTCTACGTTCTGAAAGGACATGGCACATAAAAGAATAATATCTACTCAATGCCATCGAATTATGACCTGTCTGAGGCTGAGAAAAAGAAAAAAAAAAGAACTAAAGACGACACAAGTTCTCCACACAGAATTGTCCCACAGGACAATAGCCTAGTGTATTAAAGCATTGGTTTGTGAATTAGATGACACAGTAATTTGGAGTTCAATTCCTGGGTCTGGCAGTGTGTAATTGGACACAGTAGAAACAGAGAAAGCAATAATTGAACAGTGCTAAAATTAAAGAACTGGACGAAATGTCCAAAGACATGGGCAATGGAATGAAAACAGTTTACTCTTGTAGATTAAATAAAGAGTTCAGTTTGAAATTCCAAGATTGACATACATTATGATGAAGGTCAGAGGGCATAACAGCTGAAATGTTGTGATAACAACAAAAATGAGGACAATAGTCCTCATATAAATAATAACTCTGATATATCAGAAATTCTGGCTCAAAGTCATAAATAATAATGACTGGTTAAAACACTAAATTATATAGATTTCGCAGAGGTCATAATGTAAAGCTTAGAAACAGATTCACTTTACTTACCCAAGTTGGGGAATTCCCATAATTTATCTGCATTAAATAATCAACTTACCTGTGTTGGGTAATTGATGTATTCCAAAGATTTATTACTTGCAATCATAGCACCAAGGTAAGTCAAAGAACAAATTGCATACATCTTTTTTGAGGTGGAATCCTTTGGAGAACGAAATATTGCAAGAGCTATAAAAAAAAAAAAAAAAAAAAAAAAAAAAAAAAAAAAAATTAATTGATTAAAATAAAACAGGAAACACTGAATGAAAAATAATTTTTGAAACTTCAAAAGAATGATTTATAAAAAATGGACATTTTTTTTTTTCTCTGAAAATGTATTTCAGGTAATTTTTTACTGTTTTCCAATAATGTTTTCTGGTAATTTTTTATTTCATTTTTTTTTTTTTTTTTACTATGAAAATGTTGCTGGTAATTTTCTTTTGATGTTATAACCCCTATTTGGGTGTTCACTATTTACCCATAGCTGGGATCCTAACAGATGCTACCATTCCGGATCAGGGTGGACCTGGGAACACTAGCAATTAAGAGGTGGATTCCTGATCCAGAGGCCTTGTTGCCAGATGTGGACCTGCTTTCTTGGAACATGACTAAGGGGATTATATCTAATGCTAAGTCTGCTACTAAGGTTTTCCACAGTGTCATTGCTAGACCTTGTTAGTATTCATCTTGCAAAACCATTTAGCCATGCATTGAATATTGGTTCCATATCTGATCTGATGCTCCTGCAATATCTCAAGATTCTTGACAAAATTCAAAGAAAAGTCGGTAATGTTACTGGGTCCTGACCTGGCTTCCCTCTGTATTTTTTTTTTTTTTAAAATAAATATTTTTATGGCAATTGTTCTGATAAGCTTACTTCTTAGGTGCCTCAACTTCATGAATTTAAGCATGCTATCATACATTAGAAATGCAACCATATGTTCTATTCTAATAGTTTCTTTTCTCACAATTCTCACCTGTGGAACGCTCTTCCAGTTTATTGCTTCCCTGCTACCTATAATCTCCAAAAATAACGCTAATCACCACCTGCCTTCCTGTTCTTTTTTTTTTCTTCACTTCTCACTAAAGTTTTCCCCATTCTCTTTCCCTCCCAGTAACCTGTTGCATCCTAGTGACATCATCGCCTTGTTTGGGTTGAAATGATAAAAATAAAAAAATAGAAAAAAAAACACTGAAGCATGGCAAAAAAGTCTGCAGTGGCAATAGGATGAAAGCCAAGTTTTGACAATAAAGCTGCAGTAAATAAGACAAAAAGATTAGATTTAAAGCACCTAACGAATATGCAAGTTACAAATTCTGTGTGTTTGAAATCAACAATTCGCCCTTGCATGGAGTATTGCTGCCATATATGGTCTGGTGCCCTTTCTGTTTGCCTTGGGGTTCTTGATAGGCTCCAGAGGCAGATATGCAATGTAGTTGGCCCTGCCCTGGCGTCTTGTCTACAGTCACTTTCTCACAGATGTGCTGTCGCCTCCCTCTGTCTGTTCTACCTTTCATGGAAATTGCTCCAAGGAGCTGCATTCGCTGGTTTCCAGGCGTCATGAGTTAATTTGGCATCCTCACCCCTTCAGAAACTCCTAAAATCTAATAGTTTCATGTTCTCACCTCTCGCCTGTGGAACAGTGAGCTATAATTTTCGAGCTCTGTAATTTATCCCAAGAATCTTCTTCTCATAACAGGGGTGAAGGGGTGCCATCAGTACAGTAGTGAGCTATAATCTCCAGCTATTCAAGTGTAATGTCAATCGACATCTCCAGTTGCCTTGATCTATCCACTACCCTAATCCTTTCTTCTATCACTCCTATCTGTTCTAAATTTTCTGTAACCCCTTGTGTCCTAGTGGCTTCCCGCCTTGCTTGGGGTGAAATGCTTAAAAAAAAAAAAAAAAAAATAAATAAAATATATATATATATATATATATATATATATATATATATATATATATATATAGATAGATAGACACACACACAGGGTGAGTCAAAATTATATTATCACTAGTATGAGAGGAATCATTTATTCAGAGTTTCTTGAACAGTCTCCACCTGTCCACCAGTAAAACTGATGCACAAAAACCAGCAATCAACAGTACAGTTCTATACAGGTGATCCTTTACCATACCCCATAACCAGAAGTCACAGAGTGTAATTGGCCCATATTTCTTTACAACTCCAATGGTGACTTCAAATATTTACTTACAAATGCTGCAAGAGTTTGCCAATGATAACATACCTGTACAAATCAGACAAGCAAGGTATTTCCAACAGGATGCTGCAACACCTAATTTTGCCCATGCTATTTGCACTTGACTCGATCAAAGTTTCCCAAATCGTTGGATAAGTCATGGTGGATTATTGGCAAGGCCAACACACCCCCCTGATCTAACACCCTGTGATTTCTGGTTACGGGGTATGATAAAGGATCGCATGTATAGCAAAAAAGAGATATTGAAGAACTCAAGGACAGAATAAAATGTGTAATATCAAACATTCCCTGTGAAATGTGTGTCAAGGCACTAAATTGTACTATTGATTGGTGATTTTTGTGCATCAGTCGTGCTGGTGGACAAGTGGAGACTGTTCAGTAAACTCTGAATAAATGATTCCTCTCATACTAGTGTTAACATAATTTTGACTCACCCCTGTGTGTGTGTGTGTGTGTGTGTGTGTGTAAAATAGCAGGTGCTAAAGTTCAAATATCTGGGAAGAATTTTAACAGAGGATGGAAAATGCAACACTGCTAAGCTAGGTGTTGAGAAACAGAAACAGAAAAAAAAACTATTTTTAACAAAGAAATTGCTATGTTAGTTGATTTGTTTAACAGCAGATCAACTCCTTATGGGTCATTTAATGCTGAAATTTAATTTTCTTAGGAGCTCTGAAGTAATAAAAATATGTGTTATTCTACTGTCACAATTGAATACATGGTAGATAATACTCAGCTTTTGTGCATATACAAGTTTGTCTGGACATAATTACTAGAGGTAATGAGTGTTTCATATTTTTCTTTTTTAAGTTATATTTTGCAGTTTGATTGTAGGATATATGGCTTAATGACATGAAAGAGTTCATGTTAGTTGTTTGGTTGATTTTGTTTAGCAACATATCAACACCTCTATGGGTTATTTAATGCTGAAATCTAAATTTAAACACTATGTATGCCTTTAATTGCAGATAAAATGTATTGACGATCATGTATTGTCAGTCTTTTTTATACAAAAATTTATTGCTGGTATTTTTACTATAAAAATTCATTTTTATACTTTCATCCCATACTTTGTTTGGGAGGGGGTGCTATTTACCCCCTCTGAGACCTTAACAGGTGTTACCACAAGGTCTGGATGGATCTGGGAACAACATCAATTAAGAGGTAGTTCCAGGCTCCTCAAAGCCTCCAATCTTCCAATCAGGTTTTTCTGTCGGATGTAGATTATTATCATACTAGAACTAGAATTGGTATATGATATCCATTCTCTTATATAGCAGTGAATGTGAGACAATTTCTCTAAGGATGACGAAAAAAACTAGAAACAGCAGAAATGTGGTTCTACCAAAGCTATATTGAAAATTCCATGGAGGAAGCAAGTCGGCAACAATGAAGCCTAAAAGAAAATTAGAAAGAATACTTATACTCAAAATCAAGAAAAGGCAGCTGAAATTCCTTCAATACATGAGGAAGGAGGGCTTAGAAAACCTAACCCTCACAAGGCATATTGATAGCAAGAGAGATAAGGGAAGGCAGCAAGCCATGAATAGATGGCAGAACAGGGTAGGGGCTTAGCAAAGGGAGAGAAACTGCTAAGAGCTACATGAGATAGGAAGTTGTGGAGAGCTATGATCGCCTATGTTCTGAAGGGACACAGCACATAGAAGAAAATAGGACAATGTCCAAGAGAATTAAAGCATTGGTTAATGAAGGTGGCGAAATATTAATTGTGAGTTCAATCCCTGGACTGGGTAGTACAGACTTGGACGAATGTAGGCAAACAAGAATTGAACAATTAGCCAAGGCAAGATATCCCTAGACATGGACAACAAAATGGGAAGAGTCTACTACCATAAATTAAATGAAACGTTCAGTTCAAAATTGTCTGAAGGTTATCCAGCCTGACGGAAATCTAAAGAAGGCCAGCAGATAATAGATGAAATGACATTGTAACAAAGATGAGGACATTAGTCTGATTGTAAATAATAAAAATTGAACTTACAAAATTTTGCAAACAACGTGTTGATGATACACTGTACAAAGACCAGTGACAGTGTGTAGGTGAATGCTTCTTTTTCTTCCCCATATTGGCCTCTGGTTCTGCAAATAAAATTATTTAAAAATACAGAGACACAGACAAACATTATAGGCAAACTTAGACCTTCATACCCACAAAAAGACAGCATCAAAACAACAGTTTTTTTTCATTATTCACACTGTCTTTTTTGACAAATACTTTTATAGTAATTGCTCTGAGGAGCTGCATTCGCTGGTTCCCAGACTTCATGAGTTCAAGCGCCCTACGAGGCTGGCATCCCGCTCTCACCCTTTCACTGTCGAAACTACTAAATGTAGCCGTCTCTTCTACTCCAATAGCTTCATCTTTCGCACCTCTCGCCTGTGGAACTCCCTTCCCTTTTCCAGTTTCCCTGAGAACTATAATCTCCAACTATTCAAATGTAATGTCAATCGACATCTCCAGTTGCCTTGATCTATCCACTACCCTTCTCCTCATCCTTTCTTCTACCACTCCTATGTGATCTTGCTCCAAATCTTCTGTAACCCTTTGCGTCCTAGTGGCTTCCTGCCTAGCTGGGGGTGAAATGCTTAGAAAAAAAAAAAACAAAAACAAAAAAAAACTATTCATTATTTATTGGAATCGTTGGCAAAACATTTGCTAATTGCCAAATTTATTCAAACTATTTATTCAATATATATATATATATATATATATATATGAGAGAGAGAGAGAGAGAGAGAGACACACACACACGCACTTCTAACAGGATGCTGCAACACCACATTTTGCTCATGCTGTTTGCACTTCACTCGATCAAAATGGTAAAGAAGGATTTCCTTATAGTTGGGTCACATATTTTAATTCAGTAAATGTTTAGAAATTTAATACAGTGTAACCCGGATATAAGAGACCTGGATATAAGAGAGATTTTCTCTGGTCCCAAATTAGAGCCTGTGTTAATGTATATAAAATAGACCAATCTCGGATATAAGAGACGACTTTTCCGGTCCCAACAACTCTCTTATATCCGGGTTACACTGTAATAAAAAATTGTATTCATATTTATTTCTTGATGAATGATAAATATTGCATTACATTAATATTTTTTTTTACTATGTTGTAAATATAAAATTATTCTTGTAAATAAACAATCTAATAAATAGCGTTTACTATTTTTGTTATACATTCTCAAGAACATATGAAAGTGAATTTATGCATTTTCCTATGTTTAGGTTTTATTACAATTTTAATCATTGCTTTTTAAAAACAAACCATGGCATGAAGGTCATTAAAATAATAGTGGCATCAAGGGAAAAGCTGGTATTTTGCCACTCCATTTTTTTGTGGTCACAAACCCTCAATGTTTGTCCAAACTTATTTTCCAAAGTAAATTAAAAAAAAATACCAAAGAAACACAGAAAGAGAATTGATGTTTGTCATCTTTTATCCAAATAAAAAAAAAAATGTGTGTGGGTGATGGTTGGGAGTACAAAAAAAAACATGGACAATCAATCATACAAAGCATTAACTTTGGGAAATTTAGAAAAACAAAAAAAAAAAATGCATTTAATTCTTCTATTTAACGTATACCTTGGGGAGGGGAGGGTTAATACATTACCCAAGAGTATTTGTACATAAGCAAATTTAACAAACTTGACTGGAATTCAAACTCTGATCTGATTTCTCATTTCAAGCCTCTAACCATTACCATGCCTGTACATCCATATTTTAAGAAAAATTACAGTAAAATTTGACTAATTTGTTTATTTATTTTTTAAATTTAAACATTTTAATTTTTTATTTCTTAAACATTTTAACAGTGATTTTATTATGCTACTAACATCTATAAATGACAACAATTGAAAAAAAATAAAAATAAAAAAAATTTAAATTAAAAAAAAAAAAAAAAAAAATTCCATGACAGTTTAAAATATTTTCAAGATGGTTCCAGGAGAATGGTAAAAAAAAGTTAGTCTTGATCCCTGGCAAGTAACCATGCCTACACAGCAGACAATACAGAGTGGTGACAGTCTATTTGAAACATGACAGACTGCCACCGCTGTGGCAACCACCATGTCTATTCATATTCACACACACACACACTATTCTAAATATTTAGCACATTTACTTGTAATTATAGCATACCTTAAAACTATATATACTTGTCGACAACACTAATATAATAGCATCATCTACATGCAAAAAAAGGCTAAAAATAATGAAAGCCTTATTAATAAAAACAAACAAACCAACACTTAATAATATTAACTTTGAACATGGACACAATATCTTGACCATGTTTTGAAACAAAAAAAAAAAAAAAAAAAAAAAAAAAAATGAAAACATTTTATAAAACATATATATACAACAAACTATTTCTTATTTTAACAGTTAAAATATAATCCTTGAAAATGGCTAAATATATAGCTGAAAGCGCTCGGATAAAAAGAATATTCGGACAGTTTTTATATAATGAAAAAAATTATTAATCGCATGAGAAATTGTATAAAAAACTAAATAAAAGCACCTTGTCTGTCGTATTCAATGAAATATGCATGAAAGAAGGATTGCTGCTGAAATACATATATATATATATATATATATATATATATATATATATTTCATTAAAGACAACAGACAAGGTACTGCGATTAGGCTTTTTTAAAAAAATTTTCTTGTGTTCAAAAAAATGTTTTCTTTTCTGGACACAGTGTGTATAGAAAACTGTCCAAATGTCCTGTAATTCTGAGCGCTTTCAGCTGTATTTTTAGCCATTATCAAGGATGATTTTATTTTTGCTTTTTAATTGGGTGTGTGGGTTGTGTGTATGTTTTTAGTATTATAGAAATGCTTTATTTTCTGAACGCAGTTAGCATATGGTGGTCATGTTCATAGTTAATATTACCGAGTGTTGGCTTTTTTTATTATTAAGGCTTCCATTATTTTTAATCTTTTTTTTTTTTTACATGTGAATGAGGTTATTATGTTTGTATTTTCTACTAGTATGTTTCAGATGGAGTCTGGTAAGTTTGTGTGTCTGTTTAAATGTGTTCTAATAGAGCTGCGGTTGGATAGGTGTAACGTAAGGCGTCTGGATATTCATGTAGTAGTGTGACTGATGTAATTATGTATTCAGTTTGATCAGGAACACAGTTCCTTAAAAGGCATTTGAACTCCTGATTAATGTTCTTTCATTGTAATTTTAATTTTGCTAGTGTGTTGTTATTTTTGAGGATAAGGTTAGCTGTTTAAAATTTTTTGTAGTAGATAATTAATTTCATTTTTTTGTTTGGGTGTGGGTGTGTGTGTATATACACAAAAATAACTAATTAAAAAAAATAGTTAACTCAAGACCTTTAAATATTTAAAATAAATACAGAAATAACTAAACAAAACAAAATTAAAATTACATTAAAAATAAAAATTTAACAGCAGCAACATTTACTCACTTTCGTACATTAGGCAATAAATTATATCACTTGGCATCTTCCATAGCTTACTTTGCCTAACAGTAAGCATAAGGAATATTTTAGAACTTACACAAATTCAAAATTTAACAATATTTTCCTATCATGTTACTTTTGTGTATAAATACAATTTACAAATTTAAAATCTCCACATTTACCTAGATAAGTACCTCAGGGGGACAAAATGCATTGGTAAAGAAAAGTTTTCCTTCTGTCTTCATTAAATAATATAGACATATTATGTTTACTTTTATTGATAATAATCCTTTCTAGTTCTCTAATTATCTTCTTGATAATCACATTATCAAGATGTCTTATACTCCATTTATTGGATACAAATTCTATTGCACAACATTTAGACACATTCCTGTCCACCTTAAAAAACACAGGAAATACTTGTTGACAACACCAATATATTACATCATGGAAATAATAAACAAAAACTTCAATTTCTTGAGACCCTCTATATCAAAGCAACCAATCAAAACTGAATAAAATTTATTATGAGTATAGTAGCAATGTTTTAAAATGCATTTGAATTGACTAACATTTAACATCATTTTGAAATTTAACATTTTGCAATTTTACCAATTCTGGTTATCGCCCTTGGACTGGGAATGCTTGTTTACAAAGCATCATATGCACAACGGTTATTTTTTGTGTGTTTGCAAAATCACTATCACAACGATTATAGTTACATTTTGTCTTTGCAATTCACCCGTGAAGATGATCTCAGAGGAGATCAAAAGTACTAGAGTTAACAAAAAAATATGGCACTTTTCTTAATGAATTTCAATATCAAGAACATTAGAGAAATAGAAAGGATTATTATTAAAAATAAATAGACATATTGTGCCTATATTATCTAATGAAACATGCTTGAATGAAAATATGCTGCCTAAATAAATATATATATATGTGTGTGTGTGTGTGTACGTAACATTTAAAAGAAATTATTTAAATTTAAAAGTTCAGAATTCCAGAATCCCTTCTTCATAAACATGTGGTGTTATATCAATATAAACATCACTTTAGTTTGATGACGACCTAAAGGACAAAAAGTGCCACCATGAAAAAAATCTTTACTTTATCAGTGACTTTCTTAACTATATTGATTAAAAGTATGGTTTTAAGGTATGCTATATTTATGGGTTAAAGTGCTCAATATCAGAGATAGAGCATATGTAAATATAGAAGTGGACATTGAAGTCAACAGCCAATGGTAACAGTCTGTTTCATGCTTATACACAATCGCCAAACGATGATCCTACGAAAATCGGTGTTTCAATGTGATACGGCCATAAGCTACTTAATATTTCTGGGGTAAGCCTACATCATATTGAAACCCCAGTTTCCATACAATCACCAAAATTATGCAGCATCGAGCCTGGTCAGTACCTAGATGGGTGACCACTTGGAAATAGCAGGTGCTCTAAGCTTGGACAGGTAGGTGGGGGTAATGCATAATGACTGAATTGTTAATTAAAGAGATGAGTTCCAATTCCAGCTGAGTTCTTTATATTCACTTACATGCAAATACAAATTGGAAAAGTATGAATCCACTTCATCCCCCAAGCTATGGGTTAAATAGTATGCCTTGTATCAATAAATCC